TTACCACAAAAATAGATTTTTGGAAAAGGGATGCCAAATGCAAGGGTACTGGGAATTAACTTGAGAGGCATGCTCTTTTCTTAGGAGGACAGACTGAGTATGGTAGAACCCAGAAAGTAGCACAGCAGGCTTTCTACACTGAGGTTTGTCCACTATCCTCTTTACATATTCCTCCACGTATCAATAAAAGAGTCACAATCCAAGTCCTAAACTTTTCATCTTACTTTTCAAATATGAATTATAGCCATGTTTACTGATACAAGGGAATATGAGATCACAAGGGAAAATCATGCAACATCTGAGGAGTTTTAAGTCCATAAAAGGGCTTTTTTTAAATTGGATAATTTATACTAGAGGAACTGATTTAATGGACAAAAAAAAATGAAGAGTTTTAAATGAGCAGAATAAATACCTCCAAAGACACAAGAAAGGATTAGAAATGCATAGCAATATATGCTGGGGACAACAGTTATGAAAAAACATAGTCATTAAAATGAACTTAGTAGCCAGGTAGCACAGATTGGATACCATTAGATAACAAAATAGTGAAATTATAAATTACTTGGGGAACTCATAGAAATCAATCAATAAAGAGATAGAAACCAAAAACATTAAAATGTAAGAACCCTGATAACAAAGCCTGACAACATTACAAGAAAAGAGAAATACAGATGCTCCTCAATTTACCCTGGGGTTAAGTCCTGATAACACTATGATAAATTGAAAATATGTTAGTTAAAGAAAATGTATTTAAATTGGGCATGGTAGAGCATAATCCCAGCACTCTGGAGGCAGAAGGCTCATAAGTTCATACCCAACCTGAGCAACTTAGTAACACCCTGTCTCAAATTAAAAAATCTAAAAGGGATGGGCATGAAGCTCAGTGCAAAAGCCTTGAGTTCAACCCCTAGTAGTGAAAAAAAAAAGTATTTTAATACATCTAACCTAACATCTATCCTAATTTAGCAACACAGTTAGTTGTTTCCTCTAGTGCTCTCAGGGCTGTCTGGGGAGCTGCAGCTTGCTGTCACTGCCTAGCAAGAGGTAGAGGGTGCAATATCACATAATAGGAAAAGTAAAAATTTTAAACTAGAAGTATAATTCTACCACATGTGTGTCATTTTAGCATCATAGTACAGTGGAAAAATCTTAAGTTGAACCATCATAGGTCAGAGACTGTACAAATAAATCTCCCTCATAAATACATACAAAACTTCCAAATTAATTGAATATAAACATTATAAAATAAATTCAGTAAGTAGGATACAAAATCAATATACAAAAATCAGTTTTTTTCTATAATCTACCAATTAAATATCCAAAATGAAATTAAATTTATTTTAAAATCACATCAAAAAGAATAGAAATTAAGAATAAATTTAGCAAAAGATATGGAAAAGCTTGTACACTGAAAACTACAAAACACTATTAACTGAAATTAAAGATAATCTAAATGAGTGACATCCCATTTTTCTTTATTATAAGACACAATATTGTTAAGACATCAGTTCTTAAATTCATCTATATATTGCTGTACCTGATGGCATATGTAGGGCTGGTGACAAGGGTGGTAAAGGATTTACCAAGAGTAGAGTAAGAGCAGAAGTAAATCTATTGAAGTTCACGTCATGAGATACACATGAGGTCAGGAAAGGGCACCATGTTTACAGCCCTAGAGCTTTTTATGAGTGGTTGGCATGATAGCTTCGTATCACCTGAGTGCCATGCTGGAAAAGAAAGCATAGATCTCCAACAGGAACAAAAGAAAATTGATCTGGTAGATTAAATGGTTAAGAGTGGGTAGATTTGAGTGTAGACAAGTATTCACAGGGAGAACCTCTGAAGTCTGACAGCCATAGATTAAATCAAGAGGACTTGATGTAGTCCAGTCAGGGAGACTAAGGAGGCTTTTTGTCCTGTGAGAGAACTTTGAGATAAATCCAGCCCCAGGGTGGACTTTAGGAGGTGACCCTGAAAAGGAGGAATTGGGGTTGGGGCTAATTTTCTTATTATATTCAGAGATGGTTTTAACAGTTTAACCTAGAGAGATAGAATATTTTGCCAGAAAGTAGGTTTTTGGCTGGGTGTGGCGGCACCTGCCTATAATCCCCGCACTAGGGAGGCTTAGGTAGGAGGATCACTGTGAGTTTGAGACCAGCCTGGGCTACATAGTGAGTTCCAGGTCAGTTTTACCTACATAGTAAGACCCTGTCTCAAAAAAAAAAAAAAAAAAAAGAAAAGAAAAAAGAAAGTAGGTTTTTGGGTCCAGCAAAGCATTGGTTTGGAGAAAAAGTCTACCACAGAGAATTTCAAAGGGGTTGAGGTTAATTTCGGCCTCAGAGGTGACACAAAATCAGAAGAGAGCAAGAGGGATTAGGTAAACCATGATTATTGGTTTCAAGGGAGAGCATAGCAAGTGTTTGTTTTAGTATTAACATGCTTTTAATCTCTGATACTCAGGAGACCAGAGACAGGATCACTAGTTTTAAACCAGCACAGGCAACATAGAAGACTGTCTCAAAAGGGTTGAGGATATAGTCCAGCATCTAGAGTTGTCCTAGATTCAATCCCCAATTTTAAATAAAAACTATACAACTTCTAGGAGACACTGTATAGGAGAATATCTTTGGAACGTTACGCGAGTCAAAACTTGATTACTGTAACACAAGAAGTGCAATTCATTAAACTTACTAGTACAGTGGATTTGACTAAAATGTAAAACTTTTGCTCTTTAAATGATACAACTAAGAATATGAAAAACAAGCCACAGAATGGGAGAAAATAATTTGTAAACAATGCAACAATTTGGCATTAATCATCTATTACTGTGCAGAAAATACTCATACTCTTAGCAGCTTAAAACAACAAATGTTGCTGAGCATGGTGGCTCTGGAGGTTAAAGTAGGAAGATGGCAAGTTCAAGGCCAGCCTCGGCTAAATAACAAGACCCTGTCTCAAAACAACAACAACAATGAGATTTTTAAAAAATATAAATGTATTCACAATGCTAAGATAACCACTACATACTTATAATAAAAAATCTGACAACACTAAGTGTTGGCAAGGATGTAGAGAAACTGGAATGGAAGGACTCAGCCAGTAGAAATGTAAAATGAATATAACTACTTTGGAAAATAATTTAGCTATTTCTTTAAAATTAAACTTAAATTACCTTATGGCCCAGCAAGTCCACTTCTAGGTATTCAACTAAAGGAAAAAAAAAAAATGTTAACACAAAAAAATTTGAATATAAATGTAGAAACAGAATTTTCCTAACAGCCCAAACTGGAAACCATCCAAATACTCATCAATTAGTACATGAATGAACAAGTATGGTCTAGTCATATAATGGAATATTATTTATCAATAAAAAGGTACAAACTATTAATACATATGGTATAACACCATAGATTATCTCTGACATTTAGCCTCTTTTTCTAGTGTAAAAATATAACACAGCCTGAATATCACATCAAGTTCTGAGACTGTCCATATGATTCCTGTGGAAGCTTCTTACCACAACCCATAGGGAGAGTTTACTCAACTCACCAAAACCTTACATTCAGTCTCCTTCCAGCGCTACTCCATTAGTACTGTCCCAACTAAGATTTCAAAATTACCTCAAGGTTGGGGATGTAGCTCAGAGGTACAGTTGCACACTTAGCATGCGTGAGGACCTGAGTTTGATCCCTAGAACTTCAACAGATAAAAAGGCCCCAAATTACTCCTCTTCCTCTCTGATCACCTACTCAAATTTCTATTCCCTGGCCAATGTGTGAATGCCCTGCAAACTAACAAGAGTCTAAGGGGACGAAGAGGCCTACAGCCAAAAAGCCACCATGAGGAAAATAGCTCAGTCTCTGAAAATTAGGCAAAAGTGTCTAATGCCCAGAAAGTGGAAATACTTTTTAAAAGGCCCGATACAAAATGCAGTTTGGGGTTGTATTGTTCGGCTTTGTTTTGTTTTCTCTTCAGTGGGTAGGGGTACATTAATTGAATTGTTTTCTGTTTTTTTGTTGCTTTTTGTTTTTTTTGGTATCCAGGATTGAACTCCGGACCTTGCGCTTGTGAGGCAGGTGGCAGAACCACTGAGCTAAATCCCTGGCGGGGTGCATTTAAATCTATTCCTGGGCAGCATTTAAGAATATATAAAGCTGGGGCGCAGCCCAGAAAAGCCAGACTTTCATCTCAAACCAAACATACAAAATAAAAACACAAACCGTAAAGAATCATTTAGAGCCCAGTGTGGTGGTACATGTACCTATAATCCCAGCATTCCAGAGGCTGAGGCAGGAGGATCACCGAGAGTTTGAAGCTAACCTGGGCTATGTAGTGAGTTCAACTGCATAGTTCAGGTGGAACCTGAACTACATAGCGAGACCCTGTTTCAAAAAAGAAGAGGTACAAGATCCCAACAATGAATGTAACTGTACTTTATCCCTAAAATGTACCAATAAACTCAATTAAAGCTGAAAAAAAAAAAAAGAATCTTGTTCAATGACAGGAACTGAAAACTGGGCGATATAAGCTGTTACTGATTAAACAGAGTTGAATAGTCAGGGCCAACCTGAAACCTACCAGGATTCCCAGTAATAACAGCCATACGTACAATATTGAGTTTGTGGGAGTCACAGCTGGCTTCATGATTTCACGTAATCTTCGCAATATCACAGGAATTTGTAATACAACCTACCCTAGAGAGTAGGTGAAGAAACTGTGTCCATCATTTTCAGGCAGGATTAGGTTGAATTCGTTCATACAGACTAGGGTGAGTCTTCCCTTTACAAGATTTAAGAGTTCAACTCTCCCGCCCTATTTACAGAGATCGGTTTGGCCAGAGAACACCTCAGAGTAAGGAGGCAGCAAAAGCCCGCCCAGGAGCCCGGAGACTGAAATCGCACTGGGCGTGGCCTCACAAGTTTGCGTCAGAGGACGACCGGGCGGGACCGCCGCTGCGCCGTAAAGAACTCTATAAGTCGTGAAGTGCCGTGGCGCGGAGCGGTACTTTACGGCAGTTCGGGCGCTTTCGCCGGGCGAGCGTTTGGGCTTGCGGTTTGTGTCCGCACGTGTGCTGTTGTTTTGCGTCTGGTGCTCCTGCCCGTTGCAGTGGAGCAGCCACTTTAAAGGACGTATTGGCAGCGTAAGCCAAGGACAGTGAACTGATGGCTTTTGCTGCTGAAAATGAAGGGACCTCGGGAGGAGGTCTCCAGAGGGTACCTGAGGGGGCGCGGCTAAGTCCTGAGTCTGGTAGGGAAGTGGAGGTCGGGAACTTTGCACGGATGGAAGAGGCTGGCGGTGGAGAGGAGGGGAATGGACGTACAGGCATGAAGAGGCTACAGGATGCAGAGATAGGAAGTGGGCAAAGGGCAGGGGAGATGCAAATGGACTTAACAGTTGTGAAGCAAGAAATTATGGACTGGTCGGATGTAGAAGGCGGCATGTTGAATGCACAGTGGGTAAAGCAGGAGGTAGAGGATGGGCCTGAGGTGAAGGATGAGAAAGCGGGCATATTGGAAGTGAAGCAGGAGGTAGATAGTAGTTTGATAGTAAAAGAAGAAAAGGTGGATGAACCAGAGGTGAAGGAAGAGAAAGTGAAGGTGAAGGAAGAGGTAATGGATTGGCCGGAAGTGAAGGAAGAAAAGGATAACTTGGAGATAAAGCAGGAGACGTTTGGTGATGAGACTATAAAACGGGAGGAGATGGTGGATGGAGTGCGCATAAAAGAAGAGGAGCATTTCCTGAAGAAAGAAGTAACAGATGATATAAAGGTGAAAGAAGAATTTCATATACATTCCACAGTGGGCCGCAAGCGAAAATTGGCCATGTCAAGGTAGGGCTGGGAGAAATTCGATTAGGGAATAAAACTGTCTGTCTTTTGTCTGGATTGTTGGGAACTACACTAATAGCAGAAAGGGAAATAGTGAAAAATAATCCTTGGAGACCGAGTGGTAGTGTTCAGGGAGAGGGGAAGGGGGATGTTGTTAGAACAAATTCAGTGAAATTATGTGAAGTGGTAATGATCAGTGAGTAGTGGTCAACTTACCAAATAAACATTCAGGGAACTAAAAGACCTTTTGGAACCAAATCTGGCTATTAATATACTTTTGACCCAATATTAATCTGAAAGACGATAAAGATAAGGAAATCTAATTTTAAAAAAAACAATGACAAAGTGGATTGAGTTAAAATTAAGCAAAAATTGACTTGAGCTTCTGTATAGGCAGTAATATTGCTTTTGTTTTAATTTCCTTAGTGAAATCATGATCAGATTGTTGGGAATATTACTGTGTAGAACACGGTGAGCCAAATAGAAGTTGTAAAAAGCTTGTCAGTATCCCATGGTCCTAGAGAGCAGCTGAGGACAGATGATGGGTAATGGCATTTATAAACTATTTTGATGCCCATTCTAGGTTAGGTGTGGAGTTGAGGAAAAAAGACATTAATGACACTTTTTATACTGCTGTATTTTTCTGCTGTGTATGCTTTTAAAATATTAAAACATGCTTAGGAATGGACTTCTGGTTACATACAACAGAGTGAGCAGATTACCAAGAATTACAAGTTTAAAACAGCAGCAAATAATCAAATAGAAATCAAAAGTGAGGTGATTTTTTAAAGTCATAATTTTTTAAAATTATATATCACTAACAACATTCTAAAAGAACATGTCATTCGGAGATGGTTTCATAGAGAATTTTTAACAATGTTTGACAACTGTCAAGTATTTTATCAGAGTTGCTTACACATTATTCACTAAAAGCACATGTCTAAATTATGACAAGTAATTGAATCAACATTCAGAGTTTATGAATAGATAAGTAAAATTAATATTTGATAATTTCATGTTGCATCTGGGTTTTTATAGGTGTGAAACTTGTGGTACAGAAGAAGCAAAGTACAAATGTCCACGCTGCATGCGATATTCCTGCAGGTATATGTGTAACTTTCTACCTAACTACCTGTATCTGTATGTTTCTTACTTCAAAATATAAATGTATTCCTCTTTTTTTTTTCAGCTTACCTTGTGTAAAGAAACACAAAGCAGAACTGACATGTAATGGAGTGCGAGATAAAACTGCTTATGTTTCAATACAGGAGTTTACTGAAATGAATCTCCTAAGTGGTAAGCCATATTATGCATAGCAGATTAATGCTTCCTGGAATTGATATATGTTACTTGTTTATTTTTTATTCTGAAATTTTTAGATTATCGATTTTTGGAAGATGTTGCAAGAACAGCAGACCATATTTCTAGAGATGCTCTTTTGAAAAAGCCAATAAGCAATAAACACGTAAGTATTCTAATCTCTTCTAGTGAAAATTCTTTCCAGTCAATTAGATTTTTTTTTTTTTTTTTTTTTTTTTTTTTTTTTTTCTT